GAAACTTTTTTTTTCTTACTTTTCCCTTTGAAATATTTTGTAACCATGAGAAGACTTCTCTCCAATGGCAACTATTCAGAAGAGACTCATTCTATGACTTCCTCTAGTAGGGGAGAACCACAGACTCCCTGTAACCGCATGGGAAAAAGATACTTAGTTGCTCTTGATCTTCCTTGTTTGATGTCCGGCTGTGCAGTTCGACAGTTTTCTTGCAATGGTACACCCTTGTATCTTTCACAGAGTGTATCTGGGACAGAATATGTAGCCAAATGAGCTTAAATTATGTACTACTACTCAGTGATCAATAAATATTTGGCCATCCTAGGAATTAAGTAAACTTGTAGCAGCAAAGCTGATAAAATATGATCTGTAATGTCAAGAGGTTTTGAACTTTCTTAACGATATGCAGGGAGCACTCGAGAGCAGAGATTTTTGTCTGCACATGTTTGATCACATGGTATGTCACCTTGCATATTATTTCAGTCCAAGTAAAGGTGTCTGAAATGGTTTTGTTGAGCAGATTCCTGGTTTACTAATTAGTTTAGACAGAAGAACGTTAACAGTTCTTGACACTGTCCTGTTTCTTTTGCTTCCCTGCATCTTGGGGACTGTTTCTATGTGATGGGCAGGGAAACAGGCTTCAGCTCAGAGACTTGGATACCTTCCTGCTTTTCCCAGCTCAGCCATTGACCAGCTTTACTACCTTGAGCATGTTCTCGTTGCACCGATTCCTGCTCTGTCTTGTCTCATAAGGTTTTGCAGTGTTTTGGAGCAGTTTTGTACTGCTTTAGCCTGTCTTTGTGGCATCATACTGATCTCAGGGCATTAAGCAATTCAGGCAGTAAATGCACTGCTGTTGATTTGTCTTGTCCCCTGGAACTCAAAGTTTACCTTCGTCAGATACATATAGTTATGATAATTTTTTTTCTCCAGGGCCAGGTTTGGTTGAAGGACAAAGACGCTACACATTGCAAGTTATGTGAAAAGGAATTTTCTCTTTCCAAAAGGAAGGTAAAACTTTAACGTAATTTCTTCCAACTTGTTTACATGTATTATGAGAAAAACAATTATCTCAGAGGTGCAGCATGAAATGTCAACGCTCAGTGAATGCATAGTTATTATTGAGTATATATTCTAGTACTTTGATATGTACAATGCAGCTGGGCCCTAATTTCAAAAGAAACACTGCCTTTTGGTGAAGTGCCACAAAGGAACATAATTAAAAATTATTCAACCTACTTTGTGGAATCATCATCTCAGACACTTGTCAGCTCTGGCACTGTTAGAATTTGACAGGTGTGGAAGTCTTTCTATGGCATTTTTTATACAAGAGACTAAGAAATTTTAAATTTATTGTTGTTTTAAAGTAAAATGTGGTATTAATTTCCATGCTTTATTAATGTGTGCAGGAATTTTTATGTTACGTTTTTATGTTAAATCTCAATTAACTACCTGACAGAATCGTCCAATGTCTTGAATATCATTGCTTATATTTTATTTTTATAGAGCAGAGTATGTTGAATGAAATCTGCAAAGGGGATTTGAATGAAATCTGCAAAGCGTATATATGTGTGTGTGTGTATATATATATGTATATATTAAAAAAAAACAAACCCCAAAATACATATCCGGTCCTAGGCAGACAGTCTTTCTATCCCATCATAGATTGGGATTAGGATTAATTATCTTTTGAAAACTGATTCTGTGCTCAGACCAAAGAGGTGGAAGGAATCACGTTTCGGATTGCTCTGTGTATATTGTTCATTGGTATCCGATTACCAACTATATTTCCATTGTAAATTTTTATTTTTAATCTTCTCCCCATTGTTTAGCATCATTGTAGAAACTGTGGTGAGATCTTCTGTAATGCCTGTTCTGACAATGAACTGCCTCTGCCTTCTTCACCGAAGCCTGTTCGGGTCTGTGATTCCTGCCATGCAATACTTATACAGAGGTGCTCTTCTAACGTGCCATAAGATTATTTTACAAGATATTTATTACCTTTTGGTATATAGCTAATCCTGTAAAAAAAAAAAAAAAAAAAAAAAAAAAAAAAAGAAAGAAAAAAAAAGTACTAACTAAAGAACATACAGTGGTATTTCCAGAATTTCAGGTAAGCAGTTTAGAGTTGCATTTTCAAGGAACTTGTCTGCTTCGTGTCGTAACAAATAGAGAAAATGGGACCCGAATGCAGGAAATGCTCGTGTTAAAAATACAGATGACAATGTTAGTCTAACAAATGGCTCAAGAGCTCTTTTGGAGGAAGCAGGCCAGTTTATAGAGGAGAGTCAGTGTTAACATGTATTTGACGAGTATCTTAGTCGTTATGATGATCTTGAAAACGGTGATACACTTACCTGCATTTACAGGCTAGTCTGCAACAAGTACAACCTCCTGCTGCTGCAGAATGTGCCTGTGATACGCTGCTGCAGAACAAAACGGTGCGGTAGATAGTTTTAAATTCTATTTTAAAAAAAGTAATGCAATTAATGCAGAGGTCAAATAAGTTATTGCCAAATACTGTATTTGTTTACTTCCCCTCAATTATCAAGATTTGACATATCCAAGAATATAGCACTGACAACTCTGTTCTTTGTAGTCACAGGTGTAAGGGGAGAGTTTCAGACAGGTAACAAACAGTGCCTCTAGGCACTCGATGAAGGAAGGTGCATTTTGCTGAATTGTTTTTTAAAATTAACTATTAATTTGACATACCTGTGTTTCCATTCAGAGAGAGTTGTCCTTCACAAAATTTTTGCCTGACATTGTCTGTAACCTTGAACAAATCTCTTTGCATTATTTTCGTGTAAGTCGTGCTTTCAAGCTTGTCCACGTAGTCACTGTATAGCTCTAGAAGCAGAGTGAATCTGCCACCAAGACAGACTGGGATTAAATACTGGGGACCACGTCCTTTCTGTGTTGGACAGGAAGGTTCTTCCTTATTTTCTCATCATCTTTCTCAAACTTTCAGAGTTTGTTCCTGAACTTTATTTTTATCCAGAGCACTTTTGAGCACGTCTAGGTCTGACCGCTCAAAAAAACTTCTGCTGGAATGTAAATCCTTATTCTTCCCGTAGGCAAACACAAATACATCCTTTGATAAATTGTCCTCACTTCCACGTCACTGCACTAGAACCAATCTCCCCTCTTCCCTTTCGCTGCTCACGCGATGGGGTCTGGCTGTGGAATCTCCACGCCGTGGTCAGTGCTGACGAGCCATCAGCAGAATTACGGGCCCAGTAGTTCCTTCAGCCATGGGCTTGGAATATTCTTACTAACAGGAAGAGGGAGGCTTTGAAACAGGTATTTTAATTGTTCTTGCACTTTGTTTAGCTTAGCTTTGTCTTTCTAGTTAATATTCTAAAAGCTCATACAGTTGTTCTTTTTAACACCTCAATGTAGTTGCTAATGTAGCTTTTGTAAAGAAAAATGGTTTTTTAAATTACCTGATGTAACTTTTTGTAAAATACAAAACAAATAATTGTAAATCTGTAAATAGCTTTTGGAAAAAAAATAAATCTAATTGATCTGCAACTGAACTATGGGAATAATGTCACTTTATTTAAATTTGTAATTCGGAGTGTTTTGTTATGACTTGTTGGAGTTGCTTAGACAGTCTTCGCATGCGCTGGGGAGTGGGGAGCTACCCTGCTAATGACGCAACGTGCCACGTGCTGCTCGTGTGCCTCCTGAAGGTTTTCCGGTGGGCTTTATATGGGGCAGGTATGGAGGCAGCAGGATTTGATCTAGGATATAATGATGCTCATCTGTACTGCCTCAGGAAGTAGCTTTTCAAAAAGTATGCAAATAAACAAAATCGATTTTAGAATGGGCAGTCTTTTAAAATAAGAATATAGTGCATTTCCGTAACATGCAGTAAATTCCATTTCTATTACTTAATTGCAATCTTTTCCTCTCCTCTGTGCTGCCCTGTTTGCATGGGAAAATGTCACTGAAGTAGTGTACAAATATTCAGATGGCTTTTATTTACTCTTAGGTAGAACTTCTGCCTTCAACAAAATGGTAAATACTGTTACGTTCAATGTTATTAATCCTGTATCTTCGTCTTTCTATAAAACCCTCTTCTTTGACAGATGGATTCCAAATCCTCTTGCAAAGGTGGTTCACTTACGGTATTTGCACCTCCTCTGAAAGCCAAGGGAAAACCCAGCCGATTCCTAGCGTTCATCACCCAACTGCTTGCACCAGCGGTTGTCAGTAGGCAAACAAGCACTTCAACTCTTTTGTATACAGTGATTCCGCCTAAAACTTCCTCACTGACTGAGCAATCTTGTTTTGTAGGTTTTCTTCTCAAAATCAATTCTGCTGCTCAAGTGTCTTGCAAGGTTGAAGGCTGAATGCTGCTCTTGTTACAGGGTGAAGTGTCACTGGGGAAGGGGCAGGACAGGCTGAAGGGGTTCACTGTCCCATGCGGTGGAATTTCACTCGTCAGGACTCAAGTTCAGTGTGCTTTTTGCAGATTGCTTGGTTATACAAAATAGCTCCAAGCGTAACGCCCAGCCAGCTCTCGGAAGGTAAGTCAGTCTTAAACAGCTGTTTGTTACTGTTGCTTCCCATAGAGTGGAACGCAAAGTATACCCGCGTGAGGAAAGGGTACAGAGCTGACAGTATTTTACAGATACTTGCTATGCTGATGGAGAAGACACGCTGCCATTGAAGTGTAGATGTCCACTACCTTACTGTAAGGTGTTTTTTCCTGCCACTGGATTAACTCTTGCCCTGACCTTTACTTTTGTCTTATGAAACACGTTAAGCTTTTTCAGGGACAGACCAAGAACCCGCTAGTTCTTAAGAGTGCCGAGTTAAAACGAAGCCTTGTTAAGATCACTGGTGTTGATCTCCTCTTCCCTCCCCTTCCTAGCCAAAACCATTCCGGTGCTTTGAAAGGTTCCTCTGCCACTGACCCTTTCAGCTAGGATTTCCAGTCACTTTTGACACAAGAACACACTCTCTAGTGAAATAAACTCCATTCTCCTCTCTCCCACAAGAAGACATTTATTACATATATAACACAGTACTAGCAAACAGGTGACACACTTTCAATACCCAAGATCACATTTGACATTTTAAGGGAGGCATTGAGGACAAAGCAGTTAATTTGGGAGATCACACTGGCTCAGAAGAATAAATACCTTTTTTCAGTACACATCAGGTATGTTAAGTGTCGTCAAACAATATTTTCTTACATATCTTACATGTCACAAATGCACAAAAAGTTTTATCAAGGTGTTTGGGTTGTGTCTTACTGAACAAGTATTGGGCTTATAGTTGTTTTAGAGACTTTGCTTCTAATGATCTCATCCATATAATGGCTTGTCAAGTTTTGAGCGGATACAGACAAACTGGCTCTGTGCAGGAAAAAAAAAAAGCTGAACCATGTTTAAATACAGTAATTTCATGACAGAAAAAAAAAAGTCTAACTTGCTTCCAAATCCCCTACTCTTCCCAAAAGCAATGTTTGTGAAAAAAATACTAACTAACTAAGTCACTTCAAATGAACTAGTATTTGACCTATTTCATGTTAGCTAAAAGCTGTGCTAGTGTTTTAATTTGATGTGCAAGTTGCACGTGTGAAATGCAGTAGAGTTCTACAGCAAAGCGTGGAAATTAAACATCGTCGCTTGGTTTTGTGGAGGCACAACACCTGGGCGCTACTCGCGTAGGCAGCTGTGCATTTGAAGATGATGGTAGGTTCCGGTAGTACGAGGACGAAAGGCGGAACGGTGACTTTCGGCCTCCACAGCTTTACGCCGTGGTAAAATTGTTACATACAACTTCTCAAAAGGGTTTAGGAAAGATTGTTACCAAATCAACTAAATCTATTCATCTACCTTTTTCCCCTTAAACAAGTGAATTTTTCAAACTCATTCACTACACCAAGATTACATAGAACTGAATCAGTGTTCATAGGAGTTACAGTACAACCACCTTTATTGAACCATAGTACAACATCTTAAACCGACTGTAGTCTTGAGTATGTAATACATCCTTAGGAGTAACTAGTATAAAAAGTATCAACATCAGTGGTTTGAATATAAAAATTTATTTAAAGTCAGAGTATGCAACAAATAAAACCTACAGAAAACAGATTTTCCCATCACAATCTGTTGCTTACCAAATAATATTGTGAAAACACATTCCTTCAGTCATTATAAAGTTCTTAAAATACAAAAGAAATTAAATTTTGTAAGAAAGTCTAGTAGACCAGAGACTGTTCCTTCCAGGATGTTTTGTAGAAGCAAGGCTATCCTTTAATACATTCCACGCCATCCTCCTCCACCCATACTGCCTTGCCCATAGTATCCTCCACTATTTCCACTGCCACGACCTGCAAACAATTGACACAAGGTCACGCATACATACCTTAAAAAAAGAAAAAATGTGATGGGTAATACAGAACAGTTGGTTGAAGATGACTTAACTTATACTAACAAAACAATACTTCAGCACTATTTTTCTAAGCAAGCATTTGCTGCAGTAGCAAAATGCCTAAAACCCCAAGCGATTTACAGTTTAAACCGAACCACAGCCCTCCTTCCCCTTCTCCCACCACCAACACCCCGCAGCACACAAAGCCCACCCCCCTTCCCCATCGTCCGTCAGAAGACGGCCATTAGCAACATTTTCCCAAAACAGATTGAAAACAGAACTTGTACTTACTGTATCCGCCCAAGCCGTCGGGAGTTCCGTATCCGCCACTATAATTGCTACCCATTCCCATTCTACCAACAGAGCCGTAACCTTGATCTGAAAAGCAGGAAGTGCATCGTTACAAGCGTGGAACTCGTTAGGCTGGACAAAATGTCAGCTAAGTCTGGAATTGATGCGTACCCATTCCATCTCTGCCATAGCCTCCCATTCCAGAACCGCCTCCGGCAGTTGAATTCAGGAATAGTTCAATATATCGATGCTCTGTAGAAAAGAAAAAAGCCTTACTTTGTATTTTGTTTCAGAAACCAGAAGCAGAGATACAAAGCAAAAAAAAACCCCACGTTACAAGTAACCGTTAGAAGCCCACAAAAAGTGAGTCTGAAATGTGATAAATGGCAAAAAAAGTCTTACGATTTGTGTATTTACTGCACGGCAACTTAAGTTAAATGCAGTTTAAACCTTTACATTCAGTTTCCCCTTATATACCCTGCTAAAGCCTGCTCAAGGAAAGCTTCAGGTGAACATGACACTCACGCATGTGATTTTTATCCTTAGACATGGCAGCTACTGCATCCTCATGTGTTACAAATTCCACATCTGCCTCTCCTGTGGCTCTTCCGTCTGCCCCAATATCGATGTGAACTCTTATAGGGTTCAATGGTGAGAAGAACTAAGAATAAAACCAAACAAAATCACATAAATGCAGAATTCAAGAGAGGTACTTTTTTTTTTCCATCCCAGTCGTTAGCGGAGCACTGCATCAATTTAATCTCATCCTCCCACATAAATTTAATTATTAATTTCCAAAGTATTACTTGGTGATAGTGGACGTTCAACTTTAGGTCAATCTACACCTACAGTCCATTACTATTACACAACTTGAAGAGCTCCAGCTACAGAGCTTGAGGAGCTTTCTTTAAGAACAAAGATACAAACAAAAATTCCTGCCCACACACACTGCTTCATGCAACAGGTTCTAGTATGATGCCATCCTGGAAAAGGAAAATAACCAGTTCATTTTTGAAGAAGCAGAGCCAAATAAATTTCTCCAAGCAAGTACATATTGATGGAATTCTAAAAAAGCTGTCAGTCAGACTGCTCTTCCTTGCTACAGAACTCAAAGAGGTAAGAGTGGCATTTCTAACAGCCTTTCTACCAAACAGTATGTGCAAACGAACCCGTGGGATACTACTGAAGTACTACTCATCAACTTGCAACAATGTGCTCTGAATCAAAGCCTGAAGTTTGGCCCTTGTTCTCAGAGAGTCTTTAGACTAAAGAAATCAAACTGACAGAAGAAAATATAGCTCAATTTAAAAAACACAAACAAACAAGGAAAACAACCACAAGCTCAAAATGGAGTTCTGCATACATAATATATAGGTGCAACTAATAAAGATGGAGCCCCCCTGGAGAGAGGCTGTTTAAACCTGGCCTTGTATCCCAAGAAAACTTCCTTCTCCTACAAACACCACATCTATACTGACACAAGAATGTATTCCCAAAATCTGGCACCCCGATCTTTTACGAGTAACACAGCTGGACACAGCTCCCTACTGTCTTCCCACCCTGTGACCCCTAAAATAAAGTCTCAGGTCAACAAACTAATATGCAAACTATCACCAAAGTTTCACATCTGCTATCACTCTTTTACAAAATTAAGTTAAGCTTAAGTTAAGCTTAAAGAAACTTCCGAAAGCCTTGAAATGAGGATACCAATTGCAACAGCTGTTCTCTCTCCAATACACCTTTTACGGAAATGAAAAAGCAGAGAGTACAAAGATTATGTTAAATACAGTTTGGCGGGCTTCTTCAGTAATCTTACTTTAGACATTACCTTTATAAAAGCTCATTTATTACTAAACTCTGTAAAACTCACATAAAGGGCTATGACTTTCGTTAGCGGGTATTACAGCAATCACTTGTTTGAGAAGAGTTTGGAATAGGAAAGACAAGAACATGCAAACTCTTGGCATTAGAAAGCCCTTTTCCCCCATTGTACTTACATTAGCAATATCATTTTCTGTTGCTCGAAAAGGCAGTCCTCTCATGTGAACAAAATGACCGCCACCATGGAAGCCCGACCCAGTATCTCCAGCTCCACCATAGCCATGTCCTCCCATGCCTATTAAAATACCCAAACCAAACAAAACCACAGACCTGTAAGATCACCATGAAAAGCCAGAAAAGTCACTACTACTGACTTTATACCACCAAATAGGAGACCATTACATTTCCCATGTATCAACCCAAACAGTTAGCCAGAACACATCCTAGGCAATGTATTTACCTTTTCCTAAGATTCCCCAATTCCCCCCTTCTTGAAACATCCTTCTTTCTTTACAAAATAATTTAAGGAAGAAAGCAATTATTTCCGTCTTGGAAATACTATGACTTACAACTCAAATAATATAAAAATCTTTTGAAACAAACTACTGAAAAAAATTTTTTTTACCTCTCCCATCCCTCATTCTGTCATCATAGCCATCGTTTCCATAGCCATAGTTATTATAGCCACCATAATCATCAAAGCCACCGTATCCTGTGCAATGGAGAGAAAGAAAGGAACAATTACATTATTACCCAAAATTCGCAGAGCGATTCACAAGAGTCAATTTTTCAGTCTTTGGGCACCCAGCAGTCCACAAACAGCCTCTACAGACTGTTAAACCTGGATTTCTGAACAGAGTGCAAATGTAAAACCTCCTTTGATATAGTAAAAAGATTGACACATACAAGCAAGAAATTAAATTCTATTGAAAATACCATTTCCTTATTATTTCCATTAATCTTAAATACTAAGCCACATTTTTTGATACGTTACAAGTAAAAAAAAATAATTGAGAAGTGTGTCAAACCTAATGGGTACTGCAGCTACCGCCATTTCTTTATTTCTTGACAAAGATGTCAGAAATGTGAAACTGACAACAGAACCTCCATTCATTAGATAAACATACCACCGTCATATCCACCACCTCCTCGACGCATTCTGTCATACATACTTCCACGCCCAGCTCCATAATAACCCCCTCTTCCTCCTAATGGTCTATCATATGGTCCAGGCCGTTGTTGTCCCATCATTCTTCTTGGCATGTCACAGAATCCTCTGATTTCGCTCTTACTACTTTTGAAGATTTCAATATATCTAATAAAAGAGGATTTTCAAGGTACCAGTAAGAATACAAGCATAAGCTGTCTGAATATTACAAAAGGCCATACTACGTTTTCTATAACTAAACGTACAATCCAAAAGCAGTGTCTAGAGGTACCATACAACTTAAGCTTCTCCTCAAAACCGTAAAAATCTTAACTGTATTAAAAAAAAAAAAACAAACACACTTTACAGTGGCAAAAATTACTATGGGAAAATTCTAGCTGTACAAGTTAAGCATACAACATGTCTTTCCAGTAGGAGAAACATACTGTTGAAAAACTATGTCTAGCTATAGTAGCATTTATCACAAATTACCCTACGCAAGAATGATTGAAACAATTTTCTGAGTTTAGCAAACTACCCAGAGCAATACTGTCTCCCCCACCCCCCCAAATCTACTGTATTTCCCCAGTTAACTTGGGATCAGTTATAAAAATTCTTAAAAACAGCCAGTTCCATATAATGGTCCCCAACCCCCCCAAAAAGCATTACTGACCCACAACCCCCAAAAATAAAGATTTAACACCATCCCAAACTCTCCATCCCCACCTGTGCCCTATTCTTTCCTTGTGTTTCCCCAGAGCATTTTCTGCTATCTCCTTTGAAGCAAACTGCACGAAGGCCTCCCCTGTGCTTCTCCCCTGGTAGTCCAGCGTCAATGTTATCCCATTTGGCACGATTTCCAACCCTTTAACCCAAGGACAAATAACCCCATCAAGGGGAACAGTGTTAAAGGCTGAAACATTCCCATCTGTAGCAAATACTTAAAGCATATCTAAACAACAACAACGAAAAAGAAAACCACCTTGTTTCCCCCATCACCCAACAATGCAAGCCAATGATCTTTCATTAAACATTTATGGATTTAGCCATACTTCTTTTCTGTTTAAACTACGCAAAAGTACGACCACCTAAGTTACATGAAGAAAATACAGCTACCAATCAAGCAATTTAACTGATCCAAATGCTAACATTCAGGTTATCCCAATATGCATAATATGTTTACCACCTCGACAAAATGAGATACATACTGTGTTTTACTACATCTACGGTTATTTGCACTTCATTTACAGGGCATAATTCTTAAATAAACTAATTTAACGCAATCCCTCCCATCCACCCCATTAACGGCTACTGCAAATTCCAATGCGCGAAACTGTGTAAAAGATACAAGAAAACTCTGTCGCTATACTTTGACTATACTAGAGGTACCTTGGAAAAACTGAACAATCTCTTCTTTGCTGCAACCAAATGGCAGGCCTCGAAGTCGTACCACTGTTCCATCATTAGTCGTATCATTGGGCCCGTTATGTTTTCCACTCCAGTCCATCTTTTATTTCAATCAAACACTACAAAAAAAAAAAAGGGAAAAATTTTAAGATTCCATATATGCCAAAGTCCCTCCTCTCAAAAGAAATCCAGCAGTTTTTCTTCAGATAACTAGTATTATGGATAATGAGCTTTATTTCTGTTATGTATTTAAAATTGTACTGTATCACATCTAGAGCGTGCACGCATCTCAAACCACCCCAAACCGTGACAGGGAACACAGCGTATAGGGAGGGGTGCACGCGGGCAGGCACAGCACCTAAAGCCCGTTATTCACTCAGAGCACACCGAGCACCCGTCCCACCAGGTCTGGGGGGGC